AATATTAACCAAAAAAATGGTAAATATTAACCACAAGTGGTACTTACCTCAAAAAGTGCTAATGTTCACCACAATTTTGGTAATGTTAACCAAAAAAATAGTACTCTTAATCAAAAAAGTGTAATCTTAACCAAAAAAAGTGGTCTTAACCAAGAGAGTGTTAATGTTATCCTAATAAATTTGTAATATTTACAAAAAAAGTGATAATCTTAACCGAAAAAATTATACTCTTAACCAACAAAATGGTTCTAGTGGTAATCTTAACCAAAAAAAATGGTAATTTTAATCAAAAGAATTGTAATGTTAACCTAAAAAGTGTAATCTTAACAAAAAAAAAAACAGTAATCTTAATCATTAGAATTGTAATTTAATCAAAAAAGTGGTACCTTAACCAAACAAGTGTAATTTCAACCAAAAGATTGGTAATGTTAACCTAATCAATGGTAATGTTAACCAAAATAGATGTAATGTTAACAAAAACAAGGTATTCTTAACCAAAAGAGTGATAATATTAACTTAATCAATGATAATGTTAACAAAAAAAGTGATATTTTTAACCAAAACAGTGGTAATCTAAACCAAAAAAGGGTAATATTATCCAAAACAGTAGTACTCTTAACCAAAACAGTGGTAATATTAACCAAAAAAATTGTAATATTATCCAAAACAATGGTGCTCTTAACCAAAATAGTGGTAATGTTAACCAAAAAAGTGATAATATTATCGAAAAAAGTAGTACTCTTAACCAAAACAATGGTAATGTTAACAAAAAAAATTGTAATATTAAACAATACAATAGTACTCTTAACCAAAACAGTGATATTATTAATAAAAAAAAGTTGTAATATTATCCAAAATAGTGATATTATTAACTAAAACAGTTGTAATATTAACCAAAACAGTGGTAATGTTAACCAAAAAAGTTGTACTTTTAACCAAGACAGTAGTACTGTTAACTAAAACAGTGGTAATATTATCCAACACAGTAGTACTCTTAACCAAAATAATGGTAATGCTAATAAAAAAAGTGATATTTTTAACAAAAACAGTGGTAATCGTAACCAAAACAATGGTAATGTTAACCAAAAAAATAATAATATTATCCAAAATAGTGGTATTCTTAACCAAAATAATAGTAATGTTAACAAAAAAAGTAGTAATATTAAACAAAATAGTGGTAATGTTAACTAAAAAAAGTGGTAATATTATCCAAAATAGTGATACTTTTAACCAAAATAATGGTACTCTTAACCAAAACAATGGTAATATTAACCAAAACCGTGATAATTTTAGCAAAAAAAATAGTAATGTTAACCAAAACAGTAGTAATGTTAACAAAAAAAGTGGTACTCTTAACTAAAACAATGATAATATTAACTAGAAAAGTGGTATTCGTAACCAAAACAGTTGTACTGTTAACCAAAAGAGTGGTAATCTTAATCAAAAGAGTGGTAATATTATCCAAAACAATAGTACTCTTAACCAAAATAAGGGTAATGCTAACCAAAACATTGGTACTCTTAACTTAAATAGTTGTAATATTAACCTAAAAAAGTGATAATATTATCCAAAATAGTGGTACTCTTAACCAAAATAGTGATAATGTTAACCAAAAAAGTGATAATTTTTATCCAAAACAGTGGTACTCTTAACTAAAAAAATGATAATATTAACCAAAAAAGTGGTCATATTATCCAAAATAGTGGTAATTTTAACCAAAATAGTGGTATTATTAACAAAAAAAAATGGGAATATTAACCAAAAAAATGGTACTCATAATCAAAACAGTGATAATATTAACAAAAAAAGTGGTACTATTAACTAAAAAAAGTTGTAATCTTAACTAAAAAAGTTGTAATGATAACCCAAAAAGTGATACTTTTAAACAAAATAATGGTAATATTAATAAAAAAAAAGTGGTACTCTTAACTAAAATGGTGGTAATGTTAACCAAAAAAGTAGTTCTTTTAACAAAAACAGTGGTAATGTTAACAAAAAAAAATAGTAATGTAAACCAAAATAGTTCTAATGTTAACAAAAAAAAGTGGTACTCTTAACCAAAAAAATAGTAATCTTAACCAAAAAAGTGAATGTTAACCAAAAATGTGTATTTATATTTTTTAAATATAAGGTTACTATAATCTCAACCTTATTTTTAATAAATGATGATGATTTAAAATCTTATAAAGGGTTCATAGGGATAAAAACAATTTTGCAATTTCATCTTCTTTTTTATCCTTCTTATTCGTCGTGAGTTTTTTTTTTTTTTTTTTTTTTATGAATTTACTATAATCTCAATCTTAGTTTTAATAAATGATGATGATGATGATTTTATAATCTCATAGAGATAAAAATAATTGTGCAACTCCATGCTTTGATCTTTCTACTTCATCTTCCATGTCTGAGTTTTTTTTTTTTTATGAAAAGACTACCACTCAATCTTAGTTTTAATATATGATGATTATTTATCTTATTTAAACCTAAATAAAAATATAATAAAAAATTTACAATATTTGGGGTTATTGAGTGACATTAAACTTAAATAGGATGTTAGATTAGGTTATCTAAGTGCACCACTAATTTAAGTGATAATAGAAAGTAAAATTAGTTTTTAATAATCATAATTATTTATCATATTTAAACATAAAATAAAAATAAAAGGTAAATTTTTCAATATTTAGGATTTTTGAGTGACATTAAATTTACGATTAACTTAAAATATTAGAGGTTAGGATTAGGTTATTAAGGTCACCAAGGCTAAATTACAACTAAAGTTTAGCACATTTTTTTTGGCTATTACTAAAATGTTACATAAGTTATATTGCCACAATTTTTTGGGTAAAATTGCCATATTTTGGGGTTATATTTTGGGTTAAGTTAAAATAATTACAACTTTTGTTTTTCATGCTAAATAAATTATAGCAAAGTTATCATATTTGGTACACCTTTGGTGTTAAATTAAAATAGGTAAAAACAATTGGGCTAATATGAAACTAATTACATAGTTCATGGTGTAATATGAAAAATTTGATGAAAAAATTGAGAAAATGTGATAATTTAGGGTTATAAATGAAATTTATTGGACAAGCTAAAATCTTGATCGCTGGTTTGAGCGATCAAGATTAGTCAGGGAGATTAGTTTGCAAACTTGATCGCTAGGCTGATCCAAAAAAGTGGTAATTTTAACTATAAAAGTGGTATTCTTAACCAAAAAAATGATAATCTTAACCAAAGAATGGTACTGTTAACCAAAAAAAATTACTCTTAACCAGTGTAATTGTAAGCAAAAAAATGATAAAGTTAACCAAAAAAAGTGTAATTATTTTTTTAAAATATAAACTTACTATAATCTCAACCTTAGTTTTAATAAATGATGATGATTAAAATCTCTTCATTTAGGGATAAAAACAATTCTACAATTCCATTGATCTTTCTCCTTCTTCTTCCCTGTTTGAGTGGTATTTTTTTTTTAAATGAAAAGACCACCTTCTTCTTCGCATGAATTTTTTTTTATATAAATTTGTAAGGCTAAGTGGGTAGCCGGTAAAAAGTTATAGGTTTGATCAACGGTAAAAGTTATTCACGAGTTATGAACCGTTCATTTTTTTTTTTTTGGTACCCTACCAAAAAACATTTTTCGATAATGTATTCAAACCCCATTTTTTATGTGAAATCCATCTCTATGCAGAGGAGTGTACTTAACTGAAAAAATCTTAAAGTTACCTGTGTTTGTGGCCTTCACTTAATCATTTTGTCCCGGTATTCATGTTGATTTATCGCGTCTAGAGTTTTCTTTGTTGACATTAATCTAATACTTCGTTGGGTAAGAATGATGAAAAATAAAAGAGATACATTTTTTATTCTTAAAAAAATGATACACTTTTTATCCTTTAAGGTACCTGCGTTTATGTGGCCTTCACTCAATCATTTTGTCCCGATATTCATGCTGATTTATCGCTTCTACGGTTTTCTCTGTTGACATTAATCTAATGTTTCGTTTGATAGAAATGATGGAAAGTATGAATGATTCACTTTCATTTCTTTGCATTTGGTTGGATGGATAAAAAATAAAAATGACTATTTTTTTTTTGTTGGCTAAAATTAGGAGTAACAATCAAGTTGTATCGTGTTAGATTCGTGTTGAGTCATTACGGATTTGTATCGAACATTAGTCACACCTAACTCAAATCATTTAACTAATTGTGTCGTGTCGAGTTACGAGTCGAAATGTTTATTTTTGTCTCGTATTCGTGTTCGAGTTAATCAAATTCGTGTCGAGTTCGAGTCGTGTCATTATGTTAGTTAAAAATTTTCACCCTTAACTAAGATGGGAAAAATATTTTTTAAATTTAAATTTTTTATTTTTATTTTAAAATTTTTTTTAAAATTTTTTTTTTTAAAAAAATAAATAAATATATATATATATATATATATATATATATATATACATATTTTATCAATGTATTTTTATATGAAATTAATGTATACATAATATATGTATACATAAAAAAATATATAGACCAATAAGATACATCTCAATACAAATAATTAACTTTTCATCCACTTTTCATCCAATTTTAGAGGGATTGATTTTTGTGAGTTAGAAGAAAAGTTACTCCGTTTACTTTTTCATCCTTCATACTTTTATTTCTTACCAAATATGATGTTTTATTTATCCCTCCAACTTTTTATCATTCTAATTTTCAATCCTTCCATTTTTTTATAGTACCAAACGGAGCATCAAAGGTAATATAGATAATGAAATTGGAACGAAATCCTAATGTTTTTTATTCAATTTTTGTAATTGTTTGGACTGGTTACCTACAAAGACAAAAGTTCCAATTGACGTTAGCTTTGCTAAATTTTGTTTTCTCTTATTTTTGAGAACCTGTGAATAAATGCCCTATTTACTAATTTCTTTGCGTCCTTTGCAAACTGCATTCTCTACAAAATCTTGTTTCTAATAATAATTTAGCAGGAATAAGTTTGCTATCTAAGTCATGATGGTATTTTACATACTGTTGGTTGAATTATTCTTTGAAAATCTAGATGTGACATAATATGTGACAGATTTGTGACTTATACTGAACTGAAAACAGTTAGAAAAGACTAGTTGGTTAATTCACTGCATGCCTTATACTCTATGACTCAGCTATAGAATTTTTTTGCAAAACTTGAAGAAGTCCCTTCATTTCAGTTGTTTATCGCGCTCTGTATCTACCTCATTTATACCTGAGTTTTTGGTTTTTTTTTTTTCTGGTTTGGAAGATTTGTGTTTCAAGATGTTGTTACTTTACCCACTTGAACATTTTTAATGATTTTGAGATTTAGCATATCTAGATGTTGTTATTTGACCAACAATTTATACGGAAAGTTATCAGTGTTTTTGATCTTTCAGTTGACGGGTAATGCTAAGACATCGTCAGTCACCTCACCTTTTGGTAACAAATATGCAATTTTGCAAGACACTTCAGGTAATCAATTGATGCTCACAACATTCACCCTGAGTGTACAGTGTTTACTAATGTGTTGTCGTTGTGTTACAGCTCAAAGCCACTTGGAAATGATGTTATAGGCATTGACTTGGGTACCACAAACTCTTGTGTAGCAGTTATGGAAGGAAAGGTGGGCCTTTGATTTGTTTATCCTTTTGCTTTTCGGGTTTCGCTTTTAGCAAGGCTTATATTTTTACTTTCTTTTCCTAGGAAAAGATTGTGTTTTCTGTTTATTTCCCTTGGCTATAGCTCTGATTTTACATTTAGACTGCCAAAGTGATTGAGAATTCTGAAGGAGCTCGGACCACACCATCAGTTGTTGCTCTCAGCGCGAAAGGGGAGCGACTTGTAGGAACCACAGCTAAGCATCAGGCTGTGACGAACCCAACAAATACATTTTCAGGGACAAAACGTTTAACAGGGAGGCGGTTTGATGATCCTCAGACACAGAAGGAAATGAAAATGGTGCCTTATAAGATAGTCAGAGCTCCCAATGGAGATGCTTGGGTGGAAGCTGCTGGACAGCAGTACTCCCCAAGCCAGATTGGTGCATTCGTTCTTAGCAGGATGAAAGAAACAGCTGAGTCGTACCTGAACAACGGTGTTAACAAAGCTGAAGTTACAGTTCCAGCCTACTTCAATGATGCACATAGGTAAGCCACAAAGGATGCTGGGAGGATAGCTGGTCTAGATGTACAAAGAATTATTAACGAACCAACTGCTGCTGCACTATCTTATGGTTTAAATAACAAAGAAGGCACCATTGCAGTGTTTGATCTTGGAGGCGGTACTTTTGATGTTTCTATTCTAGAAATATCCAATGGTGTCTTTGAGGTTTGCATCTGTTCTCATCCCATGAAATGTTGTACCTATTTTTTAAAGCAAGTTAGTCTTACTATCTTGGCCAACAGGTGAAAGCAACGAATGGAGACACATTTCTTGGAGGGGAGGATTTTGACAATGCACTGTTAGAATTCTTGGTGGGTGAGTTCCAGAGAACCGAAGGGATTGATCTATCAAAGGATAGGCTTGCACTGCAGAGGCTTCGGGAAGCTGCAGAGAAGGCTAAGATAGAACTCTCATCGACCTCTCAGACTGAAATCAACCTGCCTTTCATAACTGCTGATGCTTCTGGTGCCAAACATCTAAATGTAACATTAACCAGATTAAAATTTGAGACTTTGGTGGATCAATTGATTGAAAGGACTAGAACCCCTTGCCACAATTGTCTGAAGGATGCCGGTGTTTCCACCAATTAAGTAGATGAAGTTCTTCTTGTTGGAGGTATGACTCGTGTTCCCAAGGTACAACAAATAGTTGCTGAAATTTTCGGAAAAAGTCCAAGCAAGGGGGTTAATCCTGATGAGGCTGTTGCAATGGGAGCTGCAATTCAGGGTGGTATCCTCCGTGGAGATGTGAAGGAGTTGCTTTTATTGGATGTAACTCCACTATCGCTTGGCATTGAAACTCTTGGTGGCATTTTCACCAGGCTGATTAACAGAAACACCACCATTCCCACAAGGAAGTCCCAGGTCAGTGCACTTCATTGAAATTTGGAATTTTAGAAAATGTAGTCGAAAGGAGATTAAGGAGCTAAAAAGAAGAAATTTACTATGCAATGTGATACTGGTAATTTCATACTTAGGATATATACGCCCGCACCCATGAACTCGAAATGCATGCAAATATGTATAGGATCACGCATGCATCTGCTGTACAGTCGACGGCAAGGTATGCTTCGTTCGTTGTGAGAGCAATTTTTGATTTCAGCTTGTGGATTTTACGTTCTTTCTATGTCAATTGGTTTTACTCGATAGACAAGAATCAATTGTTTGCTAGTGGATAGATATATGTGTGTCATATTCATTCAGACGCAGTGCAAGTGGTTGGACTGCCAGTTTGTTTTCTTGCCAATGCCATTTCAGTATTTAAATAAGTATGCAAAGTTTATATGTAGAGGGGATGCTTTAATTGATGACTGTTATATATTGCGAGGTATGGGGAGAGTTAGATATACACAGTTTTACCTCCATGTGTGGAGAGGTTATTTCTGTTACAAAATGGAATTACAGTATTTCACATTCTTCTATCTAGTAAATACTTGCTGAGGTATTGGATGAAATCTTAGAATTGGTGAATCCATGCCCCTGGATAGATGTGTGTTGTGTTCTACGTTGAACAATTTAAAGAAATACAAGAAATAAGAAAAGAAGAGGTTAAGGTTTTATTGATACTGCATAATTAAATTGAAATACAATAAAATAATTTAACCTAAATACAAAGAGACTATATATAAGCTAAACAAGACAGGGAAAATAAAGAATTGTTCTACCTTTAATAAACAAAATAACCATATATTTCTTAAGATCTCCTCTCAAACTCACGATGTAGCAGCGACAAGCATCGAGAGTTTGTCAACTAGAAAACGAAAACGGGAAATAGAATGCGACTTGGTAAAGAAATCTATAATCTGCAAAGAAGAAGAAACAAAGGGCAAAGTAATGGTGTCATGCTTGAGATGATGACGAGTAAGATGACAATCGACCTCAATGTGCTTAGTTCGTTCATGAAAAATCGAGTTGTGAACAATCTGAATAGAACTCCGGTTGTCACAATACATAAGAGTGGGATGAGAAAGAGAAACTCTCATATCTGCAAATAACCAACGTAATCAAACAATCTCTTTGGTAGTAGATGTCATAGCACGATATTCTGCTTCGATTGAAGATTGAGAAACAATAGATTGTTTCTTGCTTTTCCAAGAAATAAGAGAATCACCCAAAAATATATGGAAACCAGTAACAAGTTTGTGATCTGTGGGATCACTGCCGTGATCAGCATTAGAGTATGCATACAGCTCCAAGGAAGAAGTGGATGGAAGTAAAAGGCTCTGAAAGACTGTACCTCGAAGATACCTTAAAATATGAAGAACCGCTGCCCAATGAACTATAGTAGGAAAAACAACAAATTGACTAACAACATGAACAACATATGCAATATCTAGACGAGTAATAGTGAGATATATCAAACTCCCAACAATAGTATGATATAAAGTAGGATCTGACAAAGATAAACCATCAAAAGAGGAATACTTTGCGTTAACCTCAATGGGAGTATCTACAGTCTTATTATCAGTAAGTCTTGCTCGCTCAAGAATATTTGCAACATATTTCGATTGAGAAAAAAGATAACATTTGGGTGAGCAGGCTACCTCAATACCCAAGAAATATCGTAGAAAACCCAAATCCTTCATTTCAAACTGTCTAGCTAACTCTGTCTTTAAAACTGAAATACCATTAACATCATCACCAGTAATAATTATGTCATCAACATATAAAGACAGAATGATACGACCTGCATCAATGCACTTAACAAAAAGAGCAAAATCATGACTATTAGAAATAAACTTAAGGGAAGAGATCACAATAGAAAATTTTTCAAACTAAGCACGAGGTGCTTGTTTGAGACCATATAATGTTTTCTTGAGCTTGCAAACATACCCAGAATCATGTGAAACACCAGGAGGGGGAGTCATATAAACTTCTTCTTGAATATTCCCATTCAAGAAGGCATTTTTAACATCAAGTTAAGAAATATGTCACTGACGAACCGAAACAACTGCAATAAGAGTACGAATGATAGTCATTTTTGCAACAGGAGCAAATGTCTCATCATAATCCATACCATACTGTTGAGAGTACCCTTTTGTAACTAACCTAACTTTGTATTGCTCAACAGATCCATCAAAATTTGTCTTAATTTTATACACCCACCGACAATCAACAACGCTCTTACCAGGAGGTAGAGGAACCAAATCTCAAGTACCTGTCTTATGCAAAGCAGAAAGTTCCTCATCCATAGCTTGCTTTTAAAGAAGGTCAAGAATTGCCTCTTTATAGGAAGAGGGCTCAGAAAAACAATGAATAGAAGCTAAAAAAGAAGTAAAAGATGAAGAATAACAAGAATAAGTAAAATCTGGTAATTTTGTGGACTTACGAATGCGTGTGGATTGACGTAAAGGTGGATCTACAATCTCAGACGGAGCTTGAGGGACCACAGGAGAGGAGGTAGCTTCAGGTGTACTAGAGAGTAAAGTGTCAGTACCTGTAGAATGATCAGTGCTTCTATTTGAAGTATTAGAAATCTGAGATGACAAACTATCAGAATCCTCAGAAAAAGGATCTATACGAATAAGATCAGATCTAGTCAAGCTATAAGTAGTAGATGGAATAGAAAAGAAAGGTATATGCTCAAGAAAAATAACATGACGAGACACATAAAGTTTTTGAGTTATTGGATCAAAAACAACGATACCCCTTTTTACCTTCACCATATCCAAGAAAGACATAAATAACAGATCGAGAGGATAGCTTGTTGCGTTCAACATGAAGACGAAGAACGAAACAAGTACAACCAAAAACTCTAAATAAAGAATAATCAGGGGCATACTCATACAAATTTTCGAAAGGAGAAACACCTGAAATATAAGAAGATGGAATTGTATTAATCAAACTTACAGCAGTAAAAACAGCTTCACCCCAAAACTCACTAAGAAAAGAAAAAGACAGCAAGAGAGAACGAGTAGTTTCAACAATGTGCCTATGTTTTCTTTCAGCAACACCATTTTGCTCAGGAGTATCTGTACATGAAGTTTGGTGAATAGTTTTATCTAAGGCAAGCAACTCAACAAATTTATTAGAAGTGTATTCCCCACTCAAATCACGCCTAAAATATTTGATAACAGCAGAATGTTGAGTTTTGACAAGAGCTCGAAAGGCTGTATATATCTCAAAGAATTCAGAACGATGTTTCATTAAATAAATCCAACAATAACGAGTATGATCATCAATAAAAAAAACATAATATCGAGACTCTTCTTTTGTGGCAACAGGAGAAGGTCATCATACATCAGAATGAATCAAATCAAATGGAGAAGAAAAAACAGAAATATTTCGATTAAAAGGTAAAACTGAAAATTTTGCTAGTTTATATCCACTACAATCAAAAATATCACAAGTTTTCAAATTTCCTAAAGCCTCTGTGGATGCCAAAAATCTCAAACGAGAAGACGAAACATGACCTAAACGAGAATGCCATAAATAAAAATTGGAAGAAGAAGAACTCAAACGAAAAGAAGATAAATCAACACTACTAGCAGCAGCAGCAGCAACTGACACTTTTAACTCATCCAAAATATATAGTCCCCCTTTCCTATGGCCTGTCCTAATCAACTTCTGAGACTGCAGATCCTGCACATAACAAGAAGAAGAGGAAAATGTGACTAAATTTTCAGAATCACATAACTGACCAACAGAAGCAAGATTTAATGTGAGTTTTGGAATATGATAAACATTAGGGAGAGACAAGTAAGGTGTGACAACAGAACCAACACCTGCTAAAGACATAGGAGTGCCATCAGCAGTCAAAACAGAAATAGAAGATGAAGGAGATACAGAAGCAAAAGATGAAGGAGATACAGAAGCAAAAGATGAAGAATCTGGAGATATATGATGTGAGGCACCAGAATCCAAGACCCATACAGAATGTGACATACCTGGAGAACTATGAGGCAACTGACCTCCTGAAAAAGAAACAGACATAGCTTGTGGCTGTAAGGAGAAAAACTTCTGAAATTGCTCAGTCAAGGTACTGGAATCGGTGAAAGGACCTGATGAAACTACTGCTGCAGTATTAGACTGTGGTGGTTTGTAACTCTGAGGTGGTCTAGGAGCATTAGATTGTGACTAGTTACCAGACTTCCTAGCTTGAGATTACTGCTGCGATTGATTCTGCTATCTTAACTTAGGACATTGAGCCTTCCAATGACCTTTCTGCTTACAGAAACTGCACTCGTCGAAGGCAGGCCTTGTGTAAGGCTTATTCTGATTATGAGAGAATGGTTTAGAAGGTACTGCTAGCATAAAAGGATTAGAAGTAGAAAGAATTCCCTTGTCAGAATAAGACTTAAGACGTATCTCTTCAACCAATAACTCACTGACAACTGAGTCAACAGAAGGAAGTGGAGAACGATGCAAAATTGAACCTCTAAGTCCTTCAAAATCATTACGAAGTGCCATTAAAAACTGTATCAACCGTTGTTGCTCTCTACGAGCAATATAGGCACCACATGCCTTTAATTCAATTGATTCTGTAAGAGTCAATTGATCCCAAAGATCTGTCATAGCAGAATAAAACTCCTGAATACTCATATTCTTCTGCTGAAGAGCTCGTATGTCATGCTCCAATTGATACTGCTTTGCAAAATTTGATTGGGTGAATAACCTTTGTAGATGATCTCAAACCTCATTTGTTGTCTCATACTTTGCCAACTGCGTACCTATAGAATGCTCAACAGAATTGTTGATCTAAGTAATAATTTTTGCATTGTCTGCTTCCCAGACATCTATCAAATCAATATAACCCGCATCAGTATTCTTAGGTTTCACATAAGTTCCAATAACATATCCCCATAGCTTTTTACCCTTAAGAAAATTTCTCATCACATAACTCCAATACGAATAATTCTTTCCATCCAACCTCACACTCACAGACTGAAGCGAATCGTCTCTTGCAGTAGCCATAATCAACAAACAAAGAAAACCAGATTGCAAAAAATGGAACAAATACCAGATTGCAAGAACGGAACAAATATCAGATTACAAAAACGGAACAAATATCAGATTACAAAAAACGGAACAAATACCAGATTGCTTAAACGGAACAAATACCAGATTGCGTAAACTATGTTTGAGATTAAGCCTTGTCCCATAAAACTTTGCTCTGATACAATGTTGAACAATCTAAAGAAATACAAGAGATAAGAAAAGAGGAGGTTAGGATTTTATTGATACTGCATAATTAAATTGAAATATAAAGAAGTAATTTAACTTAAATACAAAGAGACTATATATAAGGTAAACAAGACAAAAAAAGTAAAGGACTATTCTATCCTTAATAAACAAATAACCCTATATTTCTTAACATTCTATACATACCGGTGGCTAGTGTATGATATGCAAATACGATTTATCGGCTTTATTTGTGGTCACAGGTCTTCTCTACAGCCGCAGACAACCAGACCCAAGTTGGAATCAAAGTGCTTCAAGGTGAGCGTCAAATGGCTGCTGACAACAAGCTTCTTGGAGAATTCGAACTTATGGGTATTCCACCTGCACCTAGGGGCTTGCCACAGATTGAAGTGACATTCGACATTGATGCCAATGGTATTGTTACTGTTTTTGCCAAGGATAAGACAACTGGAAAAGAGCAACAGATTACGATCAGATCATCTGGAGGGCTTTCAGAGGATGAGATTCAAAAGATGGTCAGGGAAGCCAAGTTGCATTCTCAGAAAGATCAGGAGAGGAAAGAACTGATTGACCTCCGAAATTCTGCTGATACAACCATATACATCATAGAGAAGAGCTTAGCCGAGTATAGGGACAAGATTCCATCTGAGGTGGCAACAGAACTCGAGTCTGCTGTGTCAGACCTAAGGAAAGCAATGGGTAATGACAACGTGGAGGAGATAAAGGCAAAGATTGATGCTGCAAACAAGGCTGCTACAAAGATTGGACAGCATATGTCTGGAGGCTCCGGTGGGGCTGCCTCTGGAGGGTCCCAGGATGGGGAGCAGCCTCCAGAAGCAGAATATGAGGAGGCCAAGAAGTAGAGGTAAAGATAATTTATAGATGATGTACTGCGACTTCACACTTAAGCTAATTATNCGGCCTCCAGAAACAGAATATGAGGAGGCCAAGAAGTAGAGGTAAAGATAATTTATAGATGAAACTTCTCACTTCAGTTAATTACGGTTGGAATAGATTTCATCAGAGGAAGAAGATTGCAAAATCAATCTAAGGATTTGGGCAAGAATAAAAAACAATGCAGTTTTAGTATATTTTACAACAACTTATTCTTTGATGCTTTGCCATCATTCTGAAGTTTTGATATCTGAAACATCTACATTTTAATTAGCATTATAATCTGCATACTTCTTTTACTACATTTTTATTTTGTATGATTTCATATTGTTGAGAGCCTTTCTGTGTTTGTTTCCGGAATCATGTTTTTGGGATCCCTGTTATTGTTTGGTTGGTTGGTTTTTTTTTTTTTTGGTTACTATTGTGGGCTTGTTAATGGGTAGAGAGGAATTTGACTTGCATTCTAAGGTAATTTTCAAAGTGCAAAAGCGGTTAGGTATTTGGAATACTATTTTACATGGACACCTAAAAGATCTAGCCAAAGTAGCTCTGCTCAGATTGCTAAAGATACATTGTTGCTGCATTATTGCTTTGTTATCATCTTCTACCTACCCATGCGTTACTAATGTCATTTGACACGGCACATTTAGATAGCTATGTAATGTTTGTGATTTTGCATTTAATTTACTTTGTGAGGCAAATCCAGTAATATGATCACCGATGATTTTTCTAGGTTGACAATTTTTTACGTTCTGGTCAATATGATACTGCTATTTGGCATGAGTTTAGTCTTAATACGTTCAGATTGCTTAACTAAATCTGTTTAATAAACAGATGAACACACATTTCGATTATATATGACATATTTTACTTTACAATTATAAATGGACTGCGTATGCTTTGTTCAAATTGTAACATAAGCACACAACTTATAGTCAACCCCAAATATTTTCATACAATCTTCTTGTCATGGCTCATCATCAATTTCAACATCTGCAACACAAAACTAGATTCCTAAAATCAGTTTTTGAAGGCAATACCTTTTCAAATTCACCTTTAATGCCCATTAAAAGACGATTTTGGCAATTCAACATTAAAAAGTTATGATGCTTCTCGAAAGCATATCCCCTTAAGTTCACAATATGATGTGAAATTCAAAAGCCCATTTGGTAATTTGAGAGAGCCACATGAACATATGGATGTAAGGGATAGTATTAATTTATTGACACTGTTACTCGTACCTAATTTAGAGTTAATGCATTGTGTTAATTAGATTGATGGTAGATTTCATTCAACATTGAGACATACTATTAATCCAATTATTATAATGCATTATGTCCCAATAACATTGGTCATTAATTTATAGATTCGCGTGGGTTTATTTATTTTTATCTTTCCTGTGCACCTTTCATATTTGTAGCCCAGGCAAGAGGAAGTAATATTTTGGCTAAGTATGAATGATTTCTCTCCAAACATCGTGTAGCCTGTTGGTTTTTTTTTTATGGAGTCTAGTTTGTATATGTGATCCGGATGATGACCCGACCCGAAGTAATATTGTGTGGTTTTTAATGAAAAATTTTCTGAGGCTTAGTCCATGGAGCGAAGGCTTGGGCCTATAGGCCCAAGCCGTAGCGCTCATGGACAAACCTCGTGGGGGTTCGGGGGCAACACCCCCAAGGAAAATTTTTTGGGCCCGTTATACAGCCCAGTGCGTAGGACATATAAATCCTGTTGTTTTGGTGATTAGGGTTTGTAGTGGATTGTACAGCCGCTCTCTGTAATTCAACTCTCTCAATAGTGAAATCCCTGCAATTTCATGGACGTGGGAAAATTGCCGAACCACGTAAAATCTGTGTTTTGTTCTTCTTGTTTCTTATTGCTTTATATTTTTGATTTGTTTTTCGATTGTGTGTGTTTGTTAGTGGATTTAAATCAAGTTAAATCTCAACATAGCTATTGATGGAACACAATAGCAATCTCAAATAGTTAGGATGAAAATGTTGTTAAGTTGAGTTGCGTACTTTTTAAAAATTAAATGGGTCACGAATAGAGTTATTTTCTTTTGAAAAACAATGTAGAATATAACAAACCGCTCCTTCCACCTATATTCACTAGCTGTAGACTCCCCACGAATCAAAATTAGGTGTGAGATGTGGTAGAAATCATTCATTTATAGTTACACACAAACTTGAGCAATCAAAAGGTGTGGGCATTCAGAAATCCAACTATATTCAAGTAGGAAAACCTGCACCATTGGAACTGAGAAAGACGATCTATAATGGCTACTTCAGAGTCTCTAGCAGGGAAGAAATGTCAAGTAAATCATTCATACACAAATTCAATTCAGGATACCAAAAAATAGGCAGGTGAGAAATGCCGACCTAGTCGTTATAGCTGAGCAGCCCAACAGACAAAAGTTATATTTAGATACCTTGGGGGACCAGAAGTTTGAAATTATGGTATCCCAAGAAGTCATTATGCAGATTCGAAATTCCAATCAAAAAGGTTCTTCAGACCCAAAAATCACCTAAATGGGTATTGGGCGCCTCTCAAGGACCCTACCTTGGGCAAAAAGTCAATCCATCAAAAAGCTCCACTTTGCCTTGGGCCTAAGGTCTCTCAATAGCCAAGATTCCCAATACACTGTTCCTAAGAAAACCCATACCTCCCTAAGACCAAGAGCTTCCCTTCAACAGTACACTACTCCTGTTATTGAGAATATAACAATGTAATGTTATGGAATTAACATAACTAAACTGGGTCCAGTGGAACAATACCTTGACAGCCACCCATGAGATATCACAATGGGCTAGTAGACTTAAGTTCACAGGTTATCTACAATCTGAAAATGGTTCTACTGGTTTAGAGTAGTGTTTGGACTATATTTTTGTAATATTTGTGAATAAATAATGAATGATATATGTTCATAAAATAAATACATGATAGTCAGGTAACAAGCGTGTGGAAAAGTAAGTCACTCAACATGACTTTTCAAATTTAAAGAAAGACAGTTACAAGAAGACTTTTGTTGAGTTATCCGAATTCAAAAGGCAGCAATTATCAAAAATTGGCTGGGCCTTTGAAATCAGAAAGGCAACAATCAAGGTACGTAAGAGAAAATAATGGAAGAAAACTGACCGAAAGTCAATGAAATTTATCGATCAAAGGTGTTTATAAAAGCGGTATTAATTATAAAGAGAAGAACATGATCAAACCCATCAAAAACCCATCACGACTTGGAGTTGGGGCATTTTAAGAGTACTGTTTAGCATAGTTTTAGATTATGAATTAGTGCTGCAATTAAGATTGATTCATTAGTTCTTTATAACCGATGTTTCAATTAAGATTAACATTTTTTGGTTGTTGATGTTTCAAATTTCAAAAGCAATGTAAATGATAAATTGTAGTGAAGAGGCATTCAAAAGTTGCCCTTAACGAACACAATATTCCACATTCAACTATAGATTACCCCACATTCACTGTCATCTCATGCAGAAGTTCAAAATGAGGGTGACAAGTGGGACCTTACTCACACATCATTAGTACTACTTTCCCGAAGAGAGCGACTGAATTTCATAACACATCTACCACCAATATTAGGATCGAGATAGTGATCGTTACACTTTTATTCAATTTTACGTGATATTATATAAATAATTAATTCTCAAGTGGGACTCATTACTTATAAATGGACTTCTCATCCATGCAGAAATTGAATGGAAATATAATGAACAAATTTAAATCTCTAAAATTAGGTCCGTATCCACAACAATTTGTGCTTTCTTCGCAATAATTAAAAAACATTAAGATAGGTTGCAAGAAGAGTAAAAAGACCTTTCATTTGTAATTGATCATTTGACAATAATTTCTTGTCCAAATAACATAAGCTTACAATAATTACTGAAATCCTCTTTGATAGACTTTAAAAAATATGGCAATCTTCGACATAAACAAGAAGTTTAGCAGGTTAGGATTGATTAATTTTTTATACAAGCTCAAATGAAACGTTCGCTAACACAAATTATAATTGGATGGAGTAAATATCAAACCCGAAGAACCCTACTTGGATCTGAGAGGTCCGTTTTATTGATATTAGATTGCGAAATTATCTTTTTTTGTTGTTGTTATTTTCTTGTTCTTGATCTGGTATTTATATTTTACACTGATGTTTAGCTGGTTTTGCAACCATATGGATAAAGATGAAATTGAACTCGTAAAGGCCAATGGATTGATGGGTTTTGGTTGAAAGATAAAACACATTCCTAATTCTGGGTTTCTAGCTTAGCGATAGATTACCACAAATACTAAATTACACGACTGAAATATGATACAAATAGGTAACTTCACAAATCTAGTTTGACAACAATTGGACTGTAATGACAAGTTACTCACTGAAATTGGAAAGCTCAAAATAGATAGAAGAAAAATCTCCCATTGAAACAAACTAGAACACAAAAATCCCATGTAAATACCATTAAGCATTACACCATACACGTCTTTATATATCCTAGAAATAAGAAAAAGCAGATGTTACAAAAGGACGATCAGCCAACGAAGATGATGGAGGGATCGCAGCAACACTCATCAATCAGACAACAGCAACACAGAGCGGCAAGACTGTAAACACCACAACACCAAACAAAACATTACCAAAAAATAAGAAACTTTAATCATTTGCCAAAAAATTGATGATGCACAAAGTTGACAATGCACGATCAAATCACGTGTGTGACGTAAGGCAAACACTAAAATAGTTAATAATAAAAGATAAAGATTAGGTGAAGCCAAATAATGAAACAGTTCATAATAAAAAATAAAGATTGGATGATTAGATCTGGTGATCTAACTACAGAAGAAGGTAACGGTGGCCAAAAAACTCAATTAATAAGAGAATACAAGGTAATAGGAAAAAAAGAGAGTAAGACTGCAATCATGAAGTGTGTGAGATCTGCTTTATAATTTATAGGCA